ATAGATAGATAGATAGATAGATAGATAGATAGATAGATAGATAGATATCCCAAAAAAACATTTGTTTTGTTTATTTAGGAGAACAAATTTAGCAAAACCTGCCTAGCAGTTTAATACCCAGGCCACAAACTGTGTATGTAGATTTCTGGGTGTTTAACACTGAAAGTAGGAAACTCTCAGAGTGCATTTAATTAAATAAAAATCTGTGATAAAATATGTTAAAGAAAAACCGCACAAATTTCTTTTTTTTTTTTACCCACAGGCCTACTTCCTCCAGTGAATCTACAGAAGCCCACTCTGCGCTTTAGCCTTCCCGGCATGCAGAGCTCCACCAAAGCAGAGAAAAATTGCACTGAGCTTTCATCCCTCTCGGGGCATCAAAGCAACTCCTCTGCTGAGCCAGAACCAGAAACCGTGCTGTTCTGACACTGCCAGCCTTCGGCTCATCTCACCCGGTGTGTTCCTTTCCCGTATTGACTCGGATCACTAGGTGACAAAAAGCATATGTGGCAGAAAGTGAACTTTTTTGTGATCAGCCTCCACACCCCCTTTTTTTTTAAACGAAACAAAAAAGGCTAGAGGCTAGGGGGTAAGGTATTCTGTTTGGTCTCTCAGTTAACCCTAATTTGAAAGTTAAATAGAGGGGACATAAAATCCGCTTTTCCCTTAAGCAAAGCTTTAAAATTGAGTTATGCTTTGTGACCCCTGAACCTTCTGTTGTTTTTTTCGCCAATCTGCTGATATCAAATGATTTTAGAGGGCTGATGGTTTCACCGTGTTCCCTTGTGTGGTTTGATAAATGAACATTCATCATCAAAGATGACTCAATGGCCACAAGGAACAGAACAATCTTAGTCATCAAGATACTTGCGTATGCCATGATAAATGATTTGGTTATCAGATGTCATTAGTCACCTTTGAGTTTAACAAAACAAGTGTTTACAGAATTCGAATGAATACTGTATAAGAAAGACCATTAAATTGCAAAAAGGTTATTGTGCTGCTTTCTCTTCACCTTTCAAAAATCTCCCTTTAGAAATGATTTCCATAAAAGATGCTTTAACCCAAAAGCAGCCTAGTCTGGTAGTTGTTAGTTTATTCATTTTCACCAACAATATGCTTTGTAACCAAAGTCTGTCTTGGCATGTTTTTTTTTTCTTTTCATTCTTTTCCTTTCCAGCTACCATGTTTTTATCACAACGAGCATAAAACTTTAGTTAAGTAACTTGACATCGATTGAAAGCGATATGAAATTCATATCCATTTTAAAAACTTGGACTAACACCCTTTTCGAGTGCGCGGCCACATAGGAGTTTTGGAGCTCAAACTTCTTGATTGTAAAGAAATCCCCATGAGCAGATGAGTCACTTGCAAGAGGCAAAATCAATTTGTGCAGAGCTTGATTCCAAAGGATTACTGCAATCAGTTTTTATTATAAAAAAAGTCAAGAGCCGGATTTTAATTAAAGCTTTTTTTTTTTAATCGGTAATACATCCAGCTAGGGCTTCTTAATACAGCAGGACAAAAAGCTTTTTTCAAACACTAATGTGATTAATTTCCAGAAGAATGAGTATATTGAGTATTTTATAAAGAATATAGACACCAATCACTGTGGACATTAATCAACATTAGTGCCTTACCGCCAAAACTGTTGTTGCTATTTAAATGACTGAACATAATTAAGTGAATATTAAAGTGAGATAATAGAAAGTAGAGATGAAAAGCTGTTGACAAACTGTTGCACATTAATTAATTCTTTGGGGGACCTATCCATAAACCTCTTAACTTTAAACCATGGGATGATAAAGAGTGAAAACAAAACATACAGATCAGTTGTAATAATTTTTATAGATGTTGAATAATTACAGCAAACAGATTGTCTTGGTGATTATATATATATATATATAGACATTAACACATTGGTGTATCTTGAAAAAGCGCATTAATCCCATTGGCAATGTGAATGTAAACAAATAAATTGTAAGTGAACTGAAAATAGTGGGGGAAAAAAATCATCATCTTGGCTGCCTATGTGTTTTTGTGCATTTCTGTTATTTCACAGTGAAATTCGTTCCCCTGCTCATCTCCTGCTCGTCATGATGTAGTTCCTGATGAACTTGTGGCGCTGACCGATTGCACGCCGTCCTGACAGCTCCGACCTTTGCGGAAATGAGAACAATCCAAAATGGATACGGCTGTCTTACTCTCTGTGCTGCGCAAATCAGTTTTAGTTGGGAGTTGTGTGTCTCTGTGTGTGTGTGTGTGTGCAGAAAGAATGGGAAAATTAAACTGTTCGTACAGCGACAGATACTGAGACAGATTCCACGGGAATAATCGGTGTAGGAGGACTCTTGACTGCAGTCTGATGTTCATTGTTGTGTCATTAACCTGCTGGCTGTCACCGATCTACTCATTTGTCAGCACCTGTTTGAGCACGTAGCAGCAATGTGCTGTTAACCAGATGCTCCCAAATGAGAAGATACTGACTTTTGACCATGTTTTTCTTTATTTTATTTTTTTGCCATAGTCTATTTAACTATGAAACCAGCAGAAGTCTCATCGTGCGTGTTTCCCAGTTGCCCTAAATCCGTCAAGGGACACATGTTTATGCCTCTTATTCTCTCTTTTCTTCACAAACAATGGAGAGAAAAAGAAAAATAGATTTCACTCTCCGCTTCACTAACTTTAGGCCGTCACATTATTCAAGCATATAATTAACTCTGAGCTTCACATTGTACCAGAGCACTGTGGGGTATCTATCTTGTAATTGAAATTCACTCATAGAGGTTAGATGTACTGCAAATCAATGTTCCATGTCTGTAGTGCATTAATTTTTTTGGGTGCGCATAACATGTTTTTCAGGTCTATAAGTGATCAAACATCATATGTTGCTCTATGGAATTAATTGTCAGCATAATTTATGTATTGTTTAGATTTTCTAAATTGAACTGAATTATTGTACATCCTATATGTCAAAAACAAAGATGTGTTTAATATGTTAGAAACTAGATTAAATATGTTTAGTTTTTTTTACATTCAGTGCTCAAACAGAGAGACGTGGACAATAGTAAGAGTTCATAAGCATGATTGCTATACTGCTACCTGTTTCTTTTATTGTGTGTACTTAGGGAGATTAGCTTCGAAGCATGCACTCCTTTATTATGTCCATTAAGCCATAAATGAATTATTTTCAAATGCCAGGAAGTGACTCACAAAGCAGGAAAGCAATCATGGTCTTACGGAAGAAAATGTCATCTACAAAATGAAAAGAGCAACCATATGGTGCCTGTGTTTTCTCCTAGATGGTTTTAACTACCCATAATTGATAACTGGAATTTGGTGCTGATTGCATGTCAACAGAAAACTTTTTTGTTCTTGATGCTTCATATTTAAAAAAAAAAAGCTGTTAATTTATGAATAACAAAAAAACTAAACAAAACAAATATTCATCTGCCGGAAGATTTGACATACACTCCATCAATCCATGATGAAGGGGTTATGAAGTCTTTTGTATTTACATTCTGTTTTTAAGGCTCCTTTAAAAAAAAAAAAGTTCACCATCTGTTTTTCTTTTGATTGCATTCGTGAGTTGATTGCCATTAAGTTTGCCAATCACAATTAGAAGTCATCTGTTTTTCAGAGATGACAAAAGGAAAATAATTTCATTTTACATACAACATTAAAAGCAAGAAATTAGAATCAGTCACAATAACAAAGACCAACAAAAACATTTTGCTGGTTCATTTTGTGTTAATATTTATGAGGATGTATAAATATGACAAAAGGCACGAAGAAGAATACAGTTAAGTGAATGATGAGGAAGAAGAAAGTAATCCAATCTGTCATTGGACACAGGGTTTTGTGGTAATTAATAAAGGTGAACATTTATTACGTAGTGCTATCTCATCAAGAAACACCATGTTAGCTTTACAAGTGATCAGCATCAGACTTATTATTTACTGTTCACTTTTAATGTATCGGAATGCCTATTACCACAACCCCATTTAGACAAAAATACTAAAATCACCATGAAAACTCCACCTTTGAGATTAGATTAAGACATACACGTAAATTATATAGATGAAAATAGATGCCATAGACCATTGCAATTATTTTTTTAGCTATAAAGGAGATTGGACAAGAGGAAGCAAGACAGCTAGCTTTTGTTGCTTTGGCAGCTTTGCAGAGTTGATGAAAATGCAAATGAGCAAAAGGCTGCATGGGTTTTTTGGTATGACTCACGTCCACTGGCATGTTTTTAGACATATACCCAGTTCCTGAACAAAAACAGCATTTGAAAATCTGTTAGTTGGAAAAAAAACAAACAGATATAATCAAGCAAACACATTGGGGAATTTTTTACTACAGTTTGCTCCCAGATTGTCTGCAATCTGGGAAAAAAAACTGATAATTAAGAAGTAAAACATCTACAAACCCCTTCACAAATATACCAAATACCATCAGAAATATTGTCACCTGATCACTCATTACCAACCAAGCAGTCTTTTGGTTCAGTGGTGCATCATTGTGTTGTCAAAACGTCTTTACTGCTGATAACAAAAGATAAATCTTGCAGTTGAGCCAAACCAGGCTGTGTATTCTTATGGAAAACTAGTGGAAACTACTGATCTGTTGATCAGTCCATTAGGAGACACAAGAGAATAAAAAGACAGGAATGGGTGGTGATTGAACTTGCGGTGGATTCATAAGACCCACATTAGCAGCTTAGTTTCAGTGTATAAAAATAATGTGTGGTTCACTAGCTGTCAGAGAGTGTCGCGGATAGCAACAACCTCTCCTCTGCTCTTTTTATAAACTCTTAACTATAGAAGCAGCCTGTGATGGAATACTGATACACAGCTAGAACCCGCTCTTCTGACTTTCTGACTGGGCAGCTGACTTCGCTCACTAATAAAAGGCTTCCACTGCCAGTTTCTAATTATACTAATGGCATTAGCGGTGTAGCATCAGACAGTGTTCATCTCGGTGAATTGACCTAAATGAATGTCACACTCACACTCCGCCATCTTTGCTATTCTTTCTTTCCGCATTCATATTCCTTTGACACCGGCGTCTTCGGTGTGGGAGAACACTGGATTTGTGTGTTTCCCGTATGCGAGGGAGAGTTTCCACAACTGTGAGAGCCGAGGCCCTTGAACTGCTCCTCAAGTGCGCACGCTTTAGAATTCAGGAAACGAACAGTTCAGACTGACAGGTGGAGCTTGTTTTGTTTGTCAGTAGACATCCTTTCACTTAAAACACTCTCCATTCATAGCATTTTTATAAAGAGCTCAGAGGGATTGAGAATAGCTTAGCACAGAGATACTGCAGATATGACACAGCATAAGCTTTATATATGATATATATTATAAGACATCCTCTTATAAAGTGCCCTTGTAGTCTGATTAGCTGGGCCCACTTATTCTACAGTAGCTTCTCATAATTACAAGAGGCAACCAACTGGAAAGCAATTCAAAGCAAGACCTTTTTGAACAGTTGATTTAAAAAGCAAAGAATTATTATTATTATTATTATTATCATTATTATTGTGTAACCACAAGCTGTCTTTACGTGCAAATATTCGCTTAATAGTGCTACTCACTGTACTTCCAACTATTACAGTATTAGGCCAAGTATCATAATGTTTTTTCAGGGACCGGAATCTATTAGGTTGTCCCTTCTTTTATCTTTTTTTCTGCCGCTCTACCAAAAGCTTAAACTTCTAGTCAATATATGTCAACAGCACATATTGTATTTATTGTATTCCTCGCAGAACTGAACATCTGTATTTAGTCAATTAGAATATTTGACCACCTTTCAGACCTCGGTCCACTTATGTTTAATCACTATCACAGCTCATTAAATCAGATCCCTATCATTTGTGCAACAGGAGTTGTCCTTCCTGCATGTAAATACAAAATTGAAGCTCAGCAGCTCCTGCGCGCTTCATTTAAGTTTGAACGACTCCTTCTCAACTTGTTACTGATTGAGACTTGGTCAGGAGCCTTACTATCAGTTCTAAATGTAATTCACTGCAATAACCCAACTATTTAAAAAAAAAACCTGATATTAAGTACTTTTAAAGGCTTTCAAAGTAGTAGATTACACTCGTACAGTGCAATTAGATAAAACAAAAGAGGAAAAGAAACAAACAAAAAAAAGTACTCCTTTTTAATTGACCATTTAGCAAAAGATGACCCCGTAATAATTTACTACGTAAAGTACTTTTAAAGGCTTTCAAAGTAGTAGATTACACTCGTACAGTGCAATTAAATAAAACAAGAAGCAAAGAATCAAACAAAAAAGTACTCCTTTTTGATTGACCATGTAGCAAAAGATGATCCCGTAATAGTTAACTACAAGATATTGTTGGAATGAGTAACAATAAGGATCTCAGATTGCGACAAGATGGGAACAAATTAAATCCATAGATATCAGTTGTTGTGTTCTAGTGCATTAAAGGTGTTCAGTGAATGAAGCTTAATGGTTGAGTTACCAGCTTTGACTGCTCTGTGTAAGCAGCTTTAACCAGTACTGGAACCCCAGCATTCCACACAGGACAGTCTTTCACTCCAAGCTGCATCAAAGTGCAAAAAATGAAGTATGCTGAAACCTTTAGACGGCCATTTTACCCAGAGGCGTGTCCATAATACTGTATACTGTGAAACTGGAAGTGATATGAAGCTACTGGCTCACATCCACAACAACTTTAGTAAGATTTTTTCGTTTTAGTTTCCTTCAATTGTAGAGTTACACAAAAGCCACTGATGGATAAATCAATTATGAAATGATGGAATGCTGTAAAAAAAAATAAGCCTGTGGAATGCACATGATTAATTTTCCCCTATAAGAGAACATTTTCATGTTAAGCAGGCCATGTTTCATTTAACCTTGCAGACAATGATAATTATTTTTGAGTTTGCCTCAATTTATTTTGCAGGTACTTTGTTTTGCATGACAAAAAGCATGAATAGAGCGATTAGTGCTAGTCGATGTAGACAACCGACAACTATTATTATCTCTAGTCAAGTGTAAAGGCAGTGTGATTATCAGCTCTATTACTGTGGAAATATGGTTGGATGTGGATCATTTAAAGATAGACTAAATGGGATTTTTTTTTTTTCAATCTGCACATTTAAGTCTGAGGGTGGAATTCACATTCAACATGTCACCAAAGCTAATTACCTTGCTCAGTAGACAATGGAAGAATGGCATCAGGGGAAAGAAGGACTTTTTCTTTTTTTCTTTTGTGTATTTTTTTTTAA